TCATCAGCCCCACGGGCATGCCCAGGGATTTAGGATTTGGGGTGATTTTGGGACGGATTTGGGGTGGTTTTAGGGTAGTTTTGGGGTGGATTTGGGGTGCCCTCACCGGCCCCACGGGCATGCCCAGGGATTTAGGATTTGGGGTGGATTTAGGGTGCTTTTAGGGTGGTTTTGGGGTGGATTTGGGGTGATTTTGGGGTGCTCTCACCGGCCCCATGGGCATACCCAGGGATTTAGGATTTGGGGTGGATTTAGGGTGCTTTTAGGGTGGTTTTGGGGTGGATTTGGGGTGCTCTCACCGGCCCCACGGGCATGCCCAGCGCGATCCGCAACTCGTCCGAGAGATCTCCCGGCTTCTTCTCCTTGAGCCGCGTCTCAAACTCCTTCCCCTGGGGACAAGGGGACACCCAGGGGACAGCGGGGTCACCCAGGGGACACAGCGGGGTCACGGGGTGGTGACAGCCCCAAAAACCCAACCAGGATGTCACCAAAGCCCCCCCAAGTCCCACAAGGATGTCCCAAAAGCCACCAATGACCACCCAAGATGTCCCAAAAGCCACCAATGCCACCCCCAGGATGTCCCCAAACCCCCAAATGTCCCCAAACCCCAAAATGTTCAACCAGGATGTCCCCAAACCACTCAAAATCCAACCACAACAACCCCAAATCCTCAAATATCTCCCAAGATGTCCCCAAACCCCCAAATCTTCAACCAGGACATCTCCAAACCCCCAAAAATCCAATCAGGATGTTCCCAAATGTCCCCCAGGAGAGCCCTAAATGTCCCCCCAGGTGTCCCCAAACCCCAAAAATCCAACTAGGATGTCCCCAAACCTCCAAAATCCAACCAGGACACCCCCAAAGTCTCAAAATCCAACCAGGACATCTCTAAGCCACCAGAACTCCAATCAGGATGTCCCCAAACTCCAACCAGGATGTCCCCAAATGTCCCCCAGGTGTCCCCAAACCCCAAAACTCCAACCAGGATGTCCCCAAAGTCTCAAAATCCAAACAGGACATCTCCAAACCCCCAAAACTCCAACCAGGATGTCCCCAAATGTCCCCCAGGAGAGCCCTAAAGCCCTAAATGTCCCCCCAGGTGTCCCCAAACCCCAAAACTCCAACCAGGATGTCCCCAAAGTCTCAAAATCCAAACAGGACATTCCCCAAACCCCAAAACTCCAACCAGGATGTCCCCAAAGTCTCAAAATCCAAACAGGACATCTCCAAACACTCAAAACTCCAACCAGGATGTCCCCAAATGTCCCCCAGGAGAGCCCTAAAGCCCCAAATATCCCCCTGTGATGTCCCCAAAATCCAACCAGGATATCCCCAGACCTCAAAACTCCAACCAGGATGTCCCCAAATGTCCCCCAGGAGAGCCCTAAAGCCCTAAATGTCCCCCCAGGTGTCCCCAAACCCCAAAACTCCAACCAGGATGTCCCCAAAGTCTCAAAATCCAAACAGGACATCTCCAAACACCCAAAACTCCAACCAGGATGTCCCCAACTGTCCCCCAGGAGAGCCCTAAAGCCCCAAATATCCCCCTGTGATGTCCCCAAAATCCAACCAGGATATGCCAAGGTGGGCCACCAGCTGTGGGGACAGCGGGGACATCAGGGGACAGGGGGGAATGGCAGGGGAGTTAAGGGGGAAGAACCCTAGGGTGACACTGTGGGACACAAAGTGACCTCTGGGTGGTCACACTGTCCATCTCCACCATGTCCAGGCACGCCACCAGCTGTGGGGACAGCGGGGACAGCAAAGGGACATCAGGGGACAAAGGAGAGAGTGGGGAGAGCCCCAGAATGGTGCTGGGGACACCAACGTGACCCTGGGTGGGGACATGGGACACCAGCATGGCACCAGCGTCCCCAGGAAGGTGACAAGGGACAAGCTGCACAGCCCAGGGTGGCTCTGGTGTCCCCACCGGGGCTCCCAGGGGACAGGAGGTGTCACCTCAGGGCTGTCCCCAGCTCCGAGTGCCACCCACACCCACGGGGGAGGGGACAGGGCCGTGTCCCCAAGTGTCACCTGCTTCAGCTCGGCCACCGTGAACCTGTTCATGCGCCGCAGCTTCTTCTTGGACAGCTTGGGGACCTCCTGCTTCTTCTCCTGGGGACACACGGGGACAGCGCAAGTGACACCGGGAGGGACGCGACGGGTGGCCCCCGATGGCACCACCCGCTGTCCCTGTCCCTGAGCCCTCCCTGTCCCCTCTGTCCCACCTCAGGGACTGTCCCCTCCTTCCCAGTCCCTGCTGTCACCACCCCCAGTGTCCCCAAACACCCCCGTGTTGTCCCCAACTCGGCACCAGCTCCAGGTGCCACCTGCTGTCACCCTCAATGTCACCCCACTGTCCCCTTAATGTCTCCAGTGCCACCTGCTCGTCCTATCACTACTGCTGTACCCCTGTGTCTCCCCTGTCCCCATGTCACCTGCTCGTCCTCGGAGCTGTCCCCCTCACTGCCCCTGTCCCCCAGTGTCCCCAATGTCCCCAGTGTCCCCATGTCACCTGCTCGTCCTTGGAGCTGTCCCCGTAGCTGCCCCTATCCCCCCAATGTCCCTCTGTCCCCATGTCACTTGCTCATCCTCGGAGCTGTCCCCCTCACTGCCCCTCTCCCCCAGTGTCCCCATTGTCCCCAGTGTCCCCGTGTCACCTGCTCGTCCTCGGAGCTGTCCCCATCGCTGCCCCTGGTGCCATCCTCGGGTCCCTTTTTCCGGGGCACTCCGGCGCTCTCGGCTCGCTCCGCCCGCTCCGGCTCCTTCTCCTTGTCCTTCTTCACCTCGTCCGTCAGCTGGGACAGGGACAGGGGACACGGGTCAGGGGACAGGGACACCCAGGGGACAGGGGACACAGGTCAGGGGACAGGGACACCCAGGGGACAGGGACAGGGGACACGGGTCAGGGACACCCAGGGGACAGGAACACCCAGGGGACAATGGTCAGGAACACCCAGGGGACAGGACACAGGGACACCCAGGAGATACGAACACCCAGGGGACAGGGGCAGGGGACAGGACACAGTGACACCCAAGGGACACAGACAGGGGACAGGACACAGAGACACCCAGGGGACAGGGGACAGGGACAGGGGACAGGGAATAGTGAACAGGGATGGGGTCAGGAGACAGGGACAAGGACAGGCAACCGGCGACAGGGACAGGGGTACCCAGGGGACAGGGACAGGAGATGGGGACAGGGGACACAGGGGACAGGGACAGGAGATGGGGACAGGGGACAGGGGACACAGGTGAGGGGAGAGGGAATAGCAGACAAGGATGGGAACCAGGACAGGGAGAGGACACAGGGACAGGGGACAGAGTTCAGAAGCACCCAGGGGACAGGGTCAAGGGGAGGGGACAGGGATCAGGGATGGGGACAGGGAGAAGGGACATGGAATAGGGGACAAGGCCAGGGAGAGGGGACAGAGTCAGGGAGAGGGGACAGAGTCAGAGAACAGGGGACACGGGTCAGCAGCACCCAGGGGTGACACTGGAGTCACCCTCGGCACCCAGGAATGACCCCTCAGCACCCAGGGGTGACCCTGGCACCCAAAGGTGCCACCACCCCCGCGAAGTGTCACCTTGAAGGCCTCGAAGATCCTCTTGAAGAAGACGAAGTTGGGGTCGTAGATCTCGGGCTCCTCGCTCACGTACTCGATCTCCACCTCGGGGGCGTCCCCGGCGGGGGGCTCGGGGTCCCCCCGGGGGGGGGTCGGGGTTGGGGGCCCCTCCCGGGCCCCGCCCCTCCCCCGCTTCTTCTTCTTGCGGTTCCGGCGCTTCCGGTTCCGCTGGGAGGGGACAGGAGGGGACAAAAGAGGACAGTGAGGGGACAATGAGGTGGGACAGGTCCCTCTAACTGGTGGGGACAAAAGGGGACAAAAGGGGACAATGAGGTGGGACAGGTCCCTCCAACTGGGGGGGACAAAAGGGGACAGCGAGGTGGGACAGGTCCCTCTAACTGGGGGGACAGAAGGGGACAGTGAGGGGACAGCAAAGTGGGACAGGTCCCTCTAACTGGGGGGACAAGGTGGGGACACCCAATGGGATAGCAGAAGGGGGGACAAAGGTGACACAAGGGTGACACAGGTGACCCCACAGTGAGCCACACCCCCTGCACTTGGAGGGGACAAAATAGGGACATTGGAATGGCACCGAGAGGGGACAAAATCCCTCAGTAAGGGGACAAAAAAGGGACACTGGGGTGACCTCAGGGGGAGACCAACTGCCACAGGTGGAGGGACAAAAAGGGACATTGGGGTGACCCCAGAGCAAACCCCCCCATGACCACCGAGGGAGGGGACAACGGTGACACCCCAGTGACACAGGTGACCCCAGAGCCTCCAACCCCCCTCCCAAATAAACCCCATCCATGACCCCTCCCCCGGGAAATTTGGGGCACCCTGGGGACCCCCCCCAGGTGCCAGTTTGGGTGGGGGGGTGGCCTGTGCCCCACTGTCCCCTCGCTGTCCCCTCTGTCACCTCCTTTTTGGATGTCCCCGTGTCCTCCTCAGCCTCGGAGGCCGACGCCGACGCTCGCAGCTCCGTCTCCATCTCGTCCTCGGCTGGGGGGACACGGGGGGTCAGGGTGTCACCCCCCTTTGGGTGTCACCTCCCTTTGGGTGTCCCCCCACCTCTGGGTGTCACCCCCATCTCTGGGTGTCACCCCCCTCTGGGTGTCACCCCCACCTCTGGGTGTCACCCCCACACTCCAGGAGCACCCACAGGGCACCAATCCCACTTTTCAGGAGAATTTTGAGAAGATTTTGGGAGTGTGGGTGGCACCCAGTGGGTACCGGGGGGGGACACTGGGTGACACTGGGGGGGTGACACCACCCTGAGGTGTCCCTGGCTGCACCCACAGGTGACAAACTCAATTTTTTGGGTGCAACTTTCCATTTTTTGGGTGCGAATTCCCATTTTTTGGATGGATTTTGATGCTTTAAAGGCGTTTCCTGTGACGGGGGGCACCCAGAGGGGACCAGGGGACACCGGGGGGTGGCAGGGGACACCGGGGGTGGCACTGGGGGTGGCAGGGCTCACCCGAGACCCCCGGGACTGTCACCAGCTCCTCCTGGCGGCTCTCCTTGAGCTGCAGGATCTTCTCCAGCGCCTGCGGGATCTTGGGGCCCACCCCGGAGTCCTCGGCCTGGGGGGCACAAGGGGGGGGTCAGCGGGACCCCCGGGACACCCCCCAAATTAGAGGGACCCCCCCCAAATCAGGGAGACCCCCGGGACCCCACCCCAAATCAGGGGGACCCCTGGGAGCCCTATGAAATCAGAGAGACACCCCTGAAATCAGGGAGACCCCAAAACTGGGGAGACTCCCAGGATTACCCCCAAAGAGATCCCAAAGCCACAGAGACCCCAGACCCACAAAGACCCCTCCCCACAATAAAGAGACCCCAGAAACAAAAGCTCCAAACTCAAAGACCTCAGACCCACAGAGGGACCCCAGACTCAGAGACCCCCACACAGAGCCCCCAGCCCCACAGACCCTCCCCAATAAAGACCCCAAATCCACAGAGACCCCTCCCCACAATAAAGAGACCCCAGACCCAGAAATCCCAGACTCAAGAGACTCCCACAGAGCCCCCAGCCCCCCAGAGCCCCCAGCCCCACCTCTCTGCTGTCGTCGCCGGGGGGCGGGGGGGGCCCGCGGGGCCGGG